AAGAGAGTCGATAAGTTGATATTGTCAGAGGTGTAATATTAACGTGACAGGATTTTGTGTTGCGATTGGAGCAACTTTGTGGACTTATCATCCTATTGATGAGGATTGATAAGTGGGTTTTGTCAGAGGTTTAGTGTTAACGTGACAGGATTTGTGTTGCGATTGGAGCAGCTTTGTGGACTTATCATCCTCTTGATGAGGATTGATAAGTGGGTTTTGTCAGAGGTTTAGTGTTAACGTGACAGAATTTATGTTGCGATTGGAGCAACTTTGTGGACTTATCATCCTATTGACGAGGATTGATAAGTGGATTGTTGTCAGAGGTTTATTGTTAACGTGACAGGATGTGTGTTGCGATTGGAGCAACTTTGTGGACTTATCATCCTATTGACGAGGATTGATAAGTGGATTGTTGTCAGAGGTTTATTGTTAACGTGACAGGATGTGTGTTGCGATTGGAGCAACTTTGTGGACTTATCATCCTATTGATGAGGATTGATAAGTGGGTTTTGTCAGAGGTTTATTGTTAACGTGACAGGATTTATGTTGCGATTGGAGCAACTTTGTGGACTTATCATCCTATTGGAGAGGATTGATAAGTGAATTTGTCAGAGGTTTAGTGTTAACGTGACAGGATTTATGTTGCGATTGGAGCAATTTTGGGGACTTATCATCCTATTGACGAGGATTGATAAGTGAATTTGTCAGAGGTTTAGTGTTAACGTGACAGGATGTGTGTTGCGATTGGAGCAACTTTGTGGACTTATCATCCTATTGATGAGGATTGATAAGTGGGTTTTGTCAGAGGTTTAGTGTTAACGTGACAGGATTTGTGTTGCGATTGGAGCAACTTTGTGGACTTATCATCCTATTGACGAGGATTGATAAGTGGATTGTCAGAGGTTTGATGTTAACGTGACAGGAGGATGTTGCGATTAGAGCAACTTTAGGGACTTATCATCCTATTGAAGAGGATTGATAAGTGGATTTGTCAGAGGTTTGATGTTAACGTGACATGAGGATGTTACGCTTGGAGCAACTTTGTGGACTTATCATCCTATTGACGAGGATTGATAAGTGAATTTGTCAGAGGTTTGATGTTAACGTGACATGAGGATGTTGCGATTGGAGCAACTTTGTGGACTTATCATCCTATTGACGAGGATTGATAAGTGAGACTTATCATCCTTTTGACGAGGATTGATAAGTGGATTGTCAGAGGTTAAGTGTTAACGTGACAGGAGGATGTTGCGATTGGAGCAACTTTGTGGACTTATCATCCTATTGACGAGGATTGATAAGTGGATTGTCAGAGGTATAATGTTAACGTGACAGGAGGGATGTGTTCTTGTGACTTGCACAAGATTTTAGGAATTAGCGTCTCGCTGGGGAGACTTGCTAGGTGAATTTATCATCAGGAACAATGAGTTTTGATACCTGTGATTTGAATTTGATTTTGAAGACTTTGTGTCTTGCTGGGGAAGATTGCGATTTGAGCAATTTTTAGGACCTATCACCCTATTGGTAAGGATTGATAAGTTGATTGTCAGAGGTGTATGTTGTTAACGTGACAAATTGGGAGTAATGCGAGTTGAATGCATACTCTGTGGGGATGATAATCGTCAGAAGTGTAATGTTAACTCGACGATGTGAAAGATTCGTTACTCTTAATCCAATGGATTCCAAGTAACCAACCCCCAGTCTTGATTAAGAGGCACATCGCCTAGTGAGGCACTATCCATGAAGTCGAAATAGAGGCACATCACCTGGTAGGCCATTATCTGATGAGTTTGACTATCAGAGGTAACTGTTAACGTGATAGTTTTGTGGACCCGCCATCCTACTTGAAGAGGATTGGTAAGTTGATGGACTATCAGAGGTAAACATTAACGTGATAGTTTTGATAGACCCGCCATCCTATTTGAAGAGGATTGGTGGGGGAATTTGGAGAAAACAGACTATCAGAGTGTAACTTCCATCATCGGTGGTTGATGGGGGATAAGCTATCTATTGTGATTTTTAGACAGCCTACACCTGTCCATGTCGAACGCTATTTGGACACTTCTTAAATATATACATACATTTATTCAGACTTGTACTCAATTATATAACACATATTTTAGTTTTCAAAATCTCGTGATACATTTCTTAAAACATATATTGTACACTTCACCACAAATTTATGCAACTCGTTGGACTCACGATAGGTTCATTTTACCACGTATCTAGTTCATACGTATGATTTTAAAGGGTTGTTAGGGTATCTAGTTCAAAAACGAGCGACTTTTCAATTTATAATCTACACAATAAAGAAAATATAAAAATGGTATAAGGATTTTAGTCCCATAATATATGAATGCAAAACAATAAGGATCTCATATAGATTATTAATTGCAATATGTATGTATATAGGTGTGTCCCTATATCCTAACTCTTTACAATTTTGTCATGCCCCGTAGCCGCACCCATGTCCGTGTCCGCACCCACACATGTATCCGTGCAACATAGATGAATGCATACATCTATAATTAATAGCACAGTTCCCTCAAGAAAGCTTGTTGTTCTCTGTATCACATATTAATGACATAGCATCGTTATGTTTCAACATATAATTTTTTATGATATCCTGAGAAGAAAATCCAATCATATCCTGAGAAGAAAATCCAATCAAAATTTTTCCTATTTTCCAGTTGAAACCAAGAATTCTATAGAATAAGCACACAAAACTCTAGCTTTAGGATTCAAATTTCACAAGATAATCATAATCCTATTTACGCATCATGACTTCATGATTTTGATAGGGGAAATGCTAGGTTACCCAACCACTTCATGTCGCCTCCCATATCCGTGTCCAACACTTCCTGTTCCGTGTCCATATCTGACACTCCTTGGACACTTCTTAAGTATATACATATATTTATGCATACAGGTGTGCAAGTATACAATACACGTTTTAAATTTTTTACACCCGTGAATAACTGCTTGGACGTATATCTTACACTTGACGTCAAATTACTGTTGCTTGTTGGGCTTGGATTGGGTTCGTATCTGTCAACGTATATCTTACACTTGACCTCAAATTATTGTTGCTTGTTGAACTTGGATTGGGTCCATATCTATTAGGATCGTGGAGAATAGGATATAAGTGGATAGTTTTAGAGTTATGGGTAGTTGTTATTTGGTTGTTTTGTTGGTAGTTGTAGAAATAGAAGTGGTGTTAGTGGGTTAAGAGAATGTTTAGATTATATATAGTTGTTGTAATGTGAATGTTGGATATGAATGAATAATAATATTGTCTTTATCTCCTCTACCTTCTTCTCTTTTCTCCGTTTTTTTCTAAATTTCCTCTGCTTCTCTATATTCCCTCTGTTCTCTCTTTTCCTTCTATTTTCTTCTCATTTTCTCCTATTGCAGTAAGTTAGCGTCTACTGAATTATGGCTGGACAAGGAAGAGGTCGAGGGAAGAATTTTGGACCCTGACAACTTGGTATCAGAGCGAGCACTGATTGTATAGAGTTCGCCATAACGTACTATATGCCATTTATATACCATGTCATATAAATGGCTAATTTCAGCAGCCCTAGTAATACTTGAAGAAAAACTTATGGAATATCCTATTTCCAAGAAGATTGGAGACCGTCTTGAATGCAAATCTCTAGGTTGATATGTCCCGATTTCCCCAAACCGTAAGACTCAATCGGAGAATAGTGTTCTAAAGTAGAAATCTAGTCTACTGCAAAATCCCACTGGCTATCCCTCTAAATGACAAGAAGTAAACCAAAACAAACAACAGTTCAACTCTTATGAGCGCATAACTCTCAGCTTTTAAGGCTCAACCCAGTCTCTAATAGATCACAACCCCCCGCCCCTTTTCCACCAAGGAACAGTTTCATCGTCGCCGAAGAAACGAAACCCACATCAAACATAAACATCGAACCCAACGAAAAAGATCAAACCTTGGATCAAGCAAACCCACCAAATTTCTATCTTTAAGACTCAATTCCATCTACAGAATCAAAATACATTTTTAAAAAAAAACCCATTTGCAACCCTTCACAAATCTCGAAACCCACGTCAAGTAACCAACGAGAAAAGCCCAAACCTCGGAGCTGGAGAGAGACGACTCCATCCTCGACGGACACGACGTCGACGTTCCCCCGCCGTCAGCGATGAGGTAAGGCCTGACGTCGTCGAGCACCAGGTTCACGTTCTCCGCGGTGAGATCGTACAGCTTGGCAGAGTAGAGCCCAGACGAAGGAGGAGCAGGAGGAGGAGGAGAGGGTCCCGCTGGTCGGGCGGCGACGGGATCTCCGGCCGAAGAAGAGACACGTGCGAAAAGACTTCGCTTTTTGTGGAGTTGGGGGTTTTTGAGGGAGGAGAGGGGATTACTTGGATGGGATCTGGGGATTTGCGGAGGTGAGAAGAGGGAGGTTTGAGCTCGGCCGAGAACGGGGAGGGGGGTCATCGCTTCCCCTGGGAAGAACAAAGCAATTATCACACGCGCGCACAAAAATTAGGGTATATTTTAGGGCTCCTTTGAGTTAAATACATTAAGGGGGTGTTTGTTTCAAATCCTATAATTTTAGGATATGGATTTTACCATCGGATTTGAAATCCATATGTAATTTGTTATGGGTTGGGATTCCTAAAACTTTGTTTGTTTCAATAATATTTTGGGATTTGGAATACTATAATTTGTAATATTTTTGTTTGTTTCGAACTTTTTCGAATTTGAAATCCTTAATTTGTCTAACACTTTTGAAATCCACCCTACATCCCACCCAAAAAAGAGGATTTCACAAATCCTTAAATATAATACTTTTTTATTATTTGGGGATTTGATATTCTAAAATTTGTTTTGAAACAAACAAGTTTTATGGAATTCTAAAACAAAAAAAAAACCCACTTTTTGATCCTAGAAATTTGTTTAAGTATCTTACCCTTGTAGTTTTCATTTTATTATAACATGCATAATGAATGAACATGATTTGTATGTACAACCATTGAAATTAAAGCCTTCCAAGTCTTCGTCATTGTCGTAATAATAATAATCTGAATGAGTCATACACACCACATGAACTAACATCGCCTTACTTTTCAAAACTCCAGAAACGAATAGTATTGCCTATGTACAACCATTCATTTTCAATGAAGAAGTCTATCAAGTCATTGCATGTGAAAATCTTTTCCACCATATCTCCCGGGATGTAAATGGCAGCATTATCTTTCATTCATACCCATGATTCACATCACAACAACCATATATAATCATCTACTCTAACATTCTCTTAACCCACTAAATAACCCCACTTCTATTTCTACAACTACCAGCAGAACAACCAAATAACAAACACCCATAACTCTAGAACTACCCCCTTGTATCCTAATCTCCACCATCCTGACAAGTCTCCCTCCTTCAAAGTGAGCTCTCCCTCGAGCTCAATATTGTTGAAGCCCCAACCTTTTTCTTCTTTTTCTATTCAAATCAAGAACAGTTTCTGTGATTTACACCGATCAATCCTTTTCTCTCGTTTCCTTAGCTTCTTGGGGTGTGTTAGCCTTTTGATTTGTGCGGTGAGAGGCAGATTGTTTAAAGTAGCTTTGGACGATGCTACGTCTTTGACTGAAGAGTGGCTTGATGGACTGAGATTTTTTTTCTCCAATGCTAACTTATTTCAATGAACTCCCACCAAGATAAGGGTCTGCGCTTTCCTTTTCCGACCTATCTGTACCACTGCAGGGGTGTTTCGTCAAAGAATAGAGCGGCATGGCTTACATGCTGCACCACAAGGATTGCATAAAACTCCATTAATACATACGGATTGTATAGGACATTTAGTACTCTTAATGTTGCTATTGAGTCCAACTGAGTGTTATGTTTGTTTCCTGTTCTTTTCTTTCTTCTGTCATGATCATGTTCATGCCTGAACATTTGAAAGATGGGAAATAAGTGGACTATGGTTGTGCTACTATTTTGTTTATAGACGAACTTATTACTCTTCAAGTTTATCAAGTAATTAAATAGATTATCCTTACTAATCGTGATCGTGTTGCTGATAGTTATGATGACATTTATATCAAGTTATTGATCTTATACAGATCCTTACATATCTTGTGTTTTCTATCTTGATTCATTTAAATATTCTCGCAATTTTGTTGTTATTGATCTTTTGGTTTTGGTTTGGAAATCTGAGGTTAATTTTGCAAATGTGTGAGGTCTGTACTTTTATCCAGGCTTGTAAATGGTTCAATCATGAACTTGTTTGCCTTTGTTTGTTTATCTTTGTTTATGTTCCCATCTTTGTTAGTATTTTATCAAAAGCCCCAACAAGTTTGCAAAAAGCCCACAATAGTTTACAAAAAGCCCCCTAAAAGTTTACAAAAAACACCCCAAAAGTATTATGTACATATAACCACTATAGTTAAATGGGCAATTGGGCGGCCCGTTTATTAAATGGGCGGGCAAAAGCCCGCCCATTTAGAAAATATTAAATGGGTCATAAATGGGTAAATGGGCAAAACATGCCCGCCCATTTATGGTCCGCCCATTTAACACCCAAACCCACCCATTTAACATCCCTAGAGACCGTCTTGAAGAAAAACTTACAGAGTGTGAACTTTTTGTTATGAGAAAAAACTTCACGGGAGTTCAACTCCCGTGAAGTTTGTGAACTTTTTTTTCGAAAAACGACCCAGTTTCAGTCAACTGGGTCGTTTTTTGAAATTAAGTTGGAAACAAGTCTTTTTTTGGGAATAAATTTCAAAACCGGTCTGTTTTGAAAATTCCTCCTTAAATAGTTTCGCTCCTTTAGTGCTATTGTGCAAAAAAAAATTAAAAACCCCTTTATAAAGGGAAGCCCTTCCGAAAATTTTCAAATAACCTCCAATTAAACATGTTTCAAATGTTTCATTCTTTCAAACACAACATACCTTCACCGCAGTAATACCTACAAAATGATAGCCGAACAACTAAACAGGGGCAAAACGTGTTGAGAAAGAGATAAAATTGCTCGGTTAGCAACGAGTTTATTGAGTTGCTGCAACCCAAGCAAAAGTCTTCAACAGGTTTACCTTGTACATGAAATCGAGCTGCAGCGACTCAAAACACAACTCGCAACTTCAATCCTGTTCAGCTGTAGCTTAGCCCGAATGTAGTTCTGGGTCACGTGAATACATAACCAAGCTGATACCATCGAGCCCTTGTTCTGTTCTTGGTTATTCACAATTCGCTCCGACAATATGATTATATTAGTCGAGAGCTCAGTCCTCAATCGTAATGCACTGTCCAGCAACCCACAGCAGCTTCTGCGAAGGAACCATTAGTGAGAAAGATGCCGAGAGAAACTCTAACAGCTATTAACAGCAAGAAGTGAAATTAAGCATAACCTGAAACTTAGCACAGCCTCAATAACAGGGTTTACTGAAAAAACACTGGAGTTCATGGCTTAAAGTTCAATAAAAACACAAGTACTGACACAGAAAATTATAAGCACATATAAAGACCTTACTGAAGGTTTTGCCATGTCCTTCATTCCTCATACAAATATAATATCCAAAACTCTTTGATGGCTGCACAATGTTTCAGTCCAAACACGGAGCACGCATCCGGAAAAATTTGCTAGCCTACCAAACTAATTATACAAATACAAAAAAAAAAATTAATGCAACAGAAAAAAGGTATTGTCAAATAAGTTGTATAGAACATACAATATCAGAGTTACATGTTCCTAATTCCGCAGCCAATCGGTTCTCATTTCCTTAAGAGGAAAAAGCACGCATGCTGAGAAAAAATGTTCGTGGTGGGAAACAACATAGGACTCTTATTTCAGAACATGGGACTCATATTTGAGAACGCAAAAGAAAAGTCATTGGCATTTGGCACAAGGCAATCAGGAAATATACATTTTAAGGCAACTATCTCAATAAAAGAGGCACCAAGTATCTCTTCAACACTGCAAATAGAGCAGAAAATTGCATGAACTTGATTTGTTTAGAAATTAACCTTTTTTTTGGTACCCTCCGAAGATTAGTATTTTTCTCTATTGCTCCTGAAAGTACCAATTGCATGTATACTAAATGTACACTCGTCTGATAATTAAATCCTTGAACTGTTACTGTTCAATTCTTTAAAGTTATCCTAACTTATATGTTAACGATATCAAAGGTGACAATTTAGATTTTGAGGATAATCTTAGATCATGGGTAAGGGGGGAAACCTTAACATGACTGTAGTAGCTGTACAAGTATGAACGTGTTGATTAGTTTAGAAGTTTTTAACTGCATGCATGAGTTTGAGATTACATTTCAAATAGAGTATGTCTAAAGACATCTTGTTTAAATATGGTCATGAGTGCCACAAAAAAATGGTCATGAAGATAATACCTGGCACATTTATGCTTCTTTGTGCCAGATAATCACATTTATAAAGTTATAAACATCAAGTCAGCATTTCTAATTCATAGTAAATAAGAACAAGGGTTAATTGCAAAGGGTTGCACTACTTATTATCCGTGAACTTGTAAATTAGAGCATCAACCCCTGGTTTGTAAACAATGTTAATACTCGGTTAACTTAAGTTCTCACGTGGTCCTGCATGACTAACATAAGAGTTTTATTTCTGATCCTTGTCTATTTCCCAATTATTAACTCCAGGTGCACGAAAGCCCCTAATCTTTTCAACTCAGTTGCATATAGAGCCCTCTTTTTTTTCACAAGATACTATTAGATTTCATTGACTGATGTGCATAAAAATCCTAAAGGTGTATTATTCGCATTTATTCGACATCAGAAAACAGTACAACAGTATTTTGCCATTGGCCGAACTGTTACAGCAGTACAGAATTACATTGCAATTAACACCGCAATCACAGAGAAGCAGGTATGTAATGAAACCCCCCACAAACATCTAAGAGCACCCACAGACATCTATGAGCATATGCCCACTCTTATCAAATAACTTAGCTGACATATATATATGTCTATGAATATACGCCCACTCTTATCAAATAATTTACATGACATATATGACAAATATTACTTTTCTCTTGGAGTAAGAATATGATGAAACCTTGAACAGACTAATCACTAATGGATAAAAACTACCCACAAAACATCTAAGATCATACGCACACTGAAAGTAGATGACACATATAATAAATATTACTTTTCTCTTGGAGTTGGAATACGATGAAACCTTGAACTGACTAATCACTAATGGAGAACAACTACCCACAAACATCTAAGATCATACAAACACCGAAAGTACTTAGGGAGAAATTCAATACTCAGCATATCTCATTGAGCTGTTTAAAAGAATCTTTCAGCAAATAATAAAAAATAATGATAAATGGGAAACTGATCTAGTATGATGCATAGCCATAAAAGGGAAACCCAACCAAGAATGACACAGGTCCATGGAGAGAAGAGAATGAAAACTTAAAGCATAGACAGTGCAACAGCTTAACCTTGAGAATAAGTATAACACAATGCACTGTCCAATTTTCATTTAAAACAGGTTTGATTCCTACAGAGAAAAAGTTATCCAAATAGTATAATGCAGAATGAGTGGGAAAAAGAAAACCTTCAATTTGGAGAAGCCCGAGTGTATCCATGATGGGAAGTACATCAACACTTCCACCATCAACAATGCCGGAGAGTGCATCCTCTAAGAATAAGTTTCAGTCTTCTTGTTGAAAGGAAAATTGAGGACTTTGATGTCATTGTGTTCAAGAATCAGGACTAATCCCTGAACCATATACATACCAAATATGCAAACTAACTACCAATATTCTTGACATGAACATACACCATCTTTGAAGTGGTGAAATCGGTGTCGATCCCTAACCACAATCTCACGCTGAAAAGCCTTTGATATAATCTTCGCAGAAGCATGACAATCACTACAAATCCTTAGATTTTTTGCTATCCTAATTGGCACCAATGTACTGATGCTGATTAGCCCAAATGCAATAGCAATCTTCTCGCTGTGTCTATATACAGAGCTCTCCTTCTCTTCCTCATCAATGTCAAATGCTACATCTGAAGTATTGGGTACATATCCTTCTGCCTTCAATTTAATCGCTATTTCTTCTAACATTATCTCAATCTCTTTCATCCGGGGATGAGAATTGTCACCCGCTAAGAATTCGTGAATGATGCCGTCAGATTCTATCATGCTACAACCAGGCACTTTTATGACCCCTTTTTGCTTCATCTTCCCCCTGACATCCCGAAGCTCATCCCACTTTTTATTTGAAGCATAGATATTAGATAGCAAAATATGAAACCCGTCATGTTGAGGCTCAAGCTCAATAAGCCTTCTTCCTACTCTCTCCCCTATCTCTGAATCACCATGCTTTTTACAAGCACCAAGCAAAGCACCCCAAGTGGCCACATCAGGAGCCATTGGCATGCTTTCGATGAGTTCCTCAGCCTCTTTGAGCAAGCCAGCACGACCAAAGAGATCAACCATGCACCCATAGTGTTCAATATTAGGTTCTATGTTATAAACATGCATCATGGAGTTGAAGTAGCGACGACCCTCATTTACTAAACCAACATGCCTACATGCCCCTAAAACTCCAACAAAAGTTATCTCGTTTGGTACCACTCCAAACTTCTCCATCTCGGAGAACTTCTCGAATGCTTCATTCACTAGCCCATTCATGGCCAATCCCATAATATTGGCGTTCCAGGTCGAAATTCCCTTTTCCTCCAACTCATTGAAAACTTCCAATGCGGTATCAACACATCCTAATTTCATATACATATCAACAAGACTCGTGCCTAAAAATACATTTACATGAAACCTATGCTTCTTTATGTACGCATGGATCCATTTTCCTTGCTCTAGGGCAAATAAGTGGGCACAAGCTTTAACAGCACTAACCAATGTAGTAGCATCAGGCTTTATTTCTCCAACTTGCATCTCTTGAAACAATGACAATGCCTCTGAGAATCTATCGTGTTTACAATAGCCAGAAATCATAGTACTCCACGAGACCAAATCCTTTGAAGATATTTTATCAAAGACATCTTTTGCCTCCAGCAACAATCCACATTTTGAATAGCCAGCTATCATAGAGTTACAAGATATTTGGTCTGCATAATGACCCGACATTGCCAAATCAAACAATAGTTTTGCCGAGTCAACATTCCCACAACTAGCATAAAAGTTAATCAATGCATTTGAAAGATTAACATAAGTTCCAACCCCAATTTTAGTTACCAAACCATGAATCAATTCTCCTACTCTAGAAGCCACCTGAGCACAAGCAGATAAAACACTAACCATCACAACCTCATCCATCAAAATTCCCTCTTTATGCATCCGAACAAAAACCTCCAAAGCCTCATCAAACTTCCCATTTTGCTCATAACAAGTAATTATAGCAGTCCAAGTAACAACATCTCTCTCAGGCATTTCATCGAACAGCTCACGAGCATCATCAACAAGATTAGTCTTCCCAAACAAAGCAATCATAGAATTCGACGCAATAACGTTCTTCTCCGTCATTCGACCAAACAATCTCGTCGATTCCTCAACATCACCAATCCCAACATAGCTAGCAAGAATTGTGTTCCACGAAACCAAATCCAGAACAGGACTGTTATCGAACACAACCCGCGCATCCTCCAAACGCCCACAAGCCGAATACATTCTAATCAAGTTATTGACAGCATAAACATCCGCATCAAAACTCAATTTTACGACATGGGTATGGACCATTCTCCCTTCAATCGCCGATAACCGAAGACTGCACGCCTCCATTACGATCGGGTAAGTGTAATTATCAGGAAACGAATCGCTTCTCGGAATCAGCTTGTACAAAAGGAGGCAACTTTGAGGGGAGTTTCTCTGATTGCAGGCCCTCATTAGTGCATTCAAAGAGAACCCATTTGGGTTTTCGATCTGGTAGAGGATTTGGCGGGAGTAATCGAGACTGAAGAAAAGAGAGCTCGTTGAGAAACTGAGGAGGCGGCTCGCTGCGTACGTGTCCTTGATGAAGCCTGAGGATGTCATTTGAGCGTGAATTTGGAGGAATTGCTTGCGACTGCGGCATTTTTTGAGATGGGTTTCAAGAATTTGGAGACTTATCGAGGGTTTTAGTGGAATTTTAGCGGGATTCATAGACGAGGAGGGGATTGAGATTTCAGACATTGAATCCCGCGGTTTTAATGGGCTTTGTGATGGGCTTCGGGTGAAAATCTATAACGACCTTATTGAGCCGGGTAAAGCTGCGAATCCTAACCCGTGGATGTATTTTACCAACTGCGTGGATTTAGAAATTCACAGAAATTGTCATTTGCAAAAGAGTAACGACGACCATACATAACAATTTATTATATTTCTACAC